GAGTGAGACCCCTTCTGTGTGGATGACCTTCCCCCTCTTTGTGACCAGCCGACCACATTTCTCTAGTCCGAATGACATCCCAATGTCAGTGCTGTAGATCCTGGTGGTGTGGATCAGTGAGTCGATGTCTCGCTCACACTTGGCGTACAGCTTGATGTCATCCATGTAGAGTAGGTGACTGATATTGGCCCCATTTTTGAGTCTGTATCCGTAGCCAGTCTTGTTGATAACTTGGCTGAGGGGGTTCAGGCCTATGCAGAACAGTAGCGGGGACAGAGCATCTCCTTGGTATATGCCACATTTGATGGACACTTGTGCAAGTGGTTTGCAGTTGGCTTCAAGGGTGGTTTTCCACAGCCTCATCGAGTTTGCAATGAAGGCTCTCAGAGTCCTGTTGATGTTATACATCTCTAAGCATTCAATGATCCAAGTATGCGGCATTGAGTCATAGGCTTTCTTGTAATCAATCCAAGCCATGCACAGGTTGGTGTGTCGGGTTTTGCAGTCTCGGGCAACTGTGCGGTCTACGAGGAGTTGGTGTTTGGCTCCTCTGCTATTTACACCGATACCCTTCTGTGCCGTGCTCATGTGTTTATCCATGTGTTTGCTTATCTTGGCCGCTATGATGCCTGACATGAGCTTCCAGGTTGTGGAGAGGCAGGTTATTGGTCGGTAGTTGGGTGGGACTGGACCCTTTGATGGATCCTTCTGGATTAGGATTGTCCGCCCTTCAGTTAACCATTCAGGGTGAGTCCCACTTTGTAGCAGCTGGTTCATTTGGGCTGCCATTCGCTCATGGAGAGCAGTGAGTTTCTTTAGCCAGTAGGCATGGATCATGTCAGGCCCTGGTGCTGTCCAGTTTTTCATACCTGAGACTCTATCTTGGACATCTGTCACAGTGATGGTTACCGGGGCTTGCTCAGGGAGGTTGCTGTGGTCCTCTCGTAGAGAGATCAGCCACTGTGCATTGCTGTTGTGGGACGCCTCCCTTTCCCATATGCCTTTCCAGTATTGTTCCGTCTCCAGCCTTGGTGGGTCTGCTCTGTTGTTATTGTTACCCTGCCATTGAGAGTACACCTTAGCTGGTTGAGTGGAGAAGAGCCGGTTAATCCTTCTGGATTCATTCTCCCTTGTGTATCTCTTTAGGCGGCTGGACAAGGCTTGGAGCCTCTGTTTGGCAGTCTCGAGTGCTTCAGGTATGGGCATCTGCCTGTACTTTCTGGGTACTGGTCTTTTCATTGCACCCTTGTGGAGCTCTGACAGTTGGCTCACTTCCCTCCTTGTTACCTTGATTTTAGCCTCTAACCGTCTTTTCCATGGTGGGTATTGGGTCTCATGGTTGCTCTTATAGCCAAGTATCTCAAGGATCACTGATGCTGAGTTGTAGATCAGCTCATTGGTTTCTGTTATGGTGTTGGTAGGGATCGTTCTCAATGCTGCATTCACATTCTCAATGAGACTTTCAGATGGTACTTCACTCAGCCGTTGTAATTGGCGCCGGGGAGGCCTGGTTGTCATTCGGGTCATGATTCTCTCTCTCAGGTCAGCAGCTGTCTCGTTCAGCTCTGTTTCGCTCATTGGGGCCGTGTATCCCCTCACTGGGTGGGGACTTGTAGTTAAGTCCCCACAGTCCTGACATCCGGGTTCCTCCCTTTTGCCGTAGCATTTGTGTTGTATCTCGTCAATCTCAAGTTGTGATAGCAGTTGCCGTTTGCGGATGTTGGAACACTGAGCTACTAGTTGTTTAGCGCTTAGTGTTGACTGGGGATGTCGAAGTAACCATTCCTCCCCAGTCTTTGCATGTAACCTCTCTCACTAGGGTTACTTGAGTAGTAGCATTCCAACAGATCCACATTTTCATCTCTCGCCCATTTCCGTCTTGTTCCAGTAGCCCATTTGTCATCAAGGTGCTCTGGTTCCCCAACACCTGACGCAGACCTTGTTTGGCCGGGCGACGTCTGAGCCGGCATGTTATGCAACTTAGTATCTCTCATGGTATGAGGTAGGCAGTAGCTTGAAGGGTCTTGCCTAAGGACCCAGACTGGATTCGAACCCTGCCCTCTCGGGTGATATACTGATGCCTTATGTATTGAGCTATCCAGTCAGCTATATATATATATATATATATATATATATATATATATATATATATATATATATATATATATATATATATATATATATATATATACATACATGAATCTTTAAAAAATTTTGGCCTCGTGAATTTGGCCTCTGTCTCTTTAAGAAGCTCCAGCACGGCATCATTTTTCCATTATACTATTTACAACCAGTCTTAGCTGAGTTGGAGTGAAAAGTAGTTTGCATGATGAGCTCAGAACAGGTGCAGTTTCAGCAGGTGTTTGTTAATTGTTGTTGCTGCTGCTAGTCTAGGGTAGTCTAGAGAGTGAGGAGTGCTCTGTTACGAGGAAATAAATGGCATTTTGCGAGAACAAACGTTTGTGGCACTCCAATAATTGCCACGGGAGATTCAAAGAGTTCTCGAACATGAATGAATCAAAGCAACACTCCAGGTATGTTTTTGATGAGGGAATAATATTATAACATGATGTAAAGCTTTAAAAAAAAGTCAATTTTACATAATACCTCAGAAGAGAAATGGCTTGACTGAAATCTGTTGGGGCTTGTCAGAAATATACCAGCTGGATTCTGGCTAGCAGACCCCTGCCCAAATTAAAAAAAAAAAAAAACAACAACACACACACCACCTATAGAAGCTGTGGGATCTGGCAGAAGTACCTGCTCACATGCACAACCACTGAGGCGGAGTGTAAAAGCTGACTCTTCCTGCCAGCTGAGTGTGAGAAGAGGGAAAGCAGGATGGAAATAGTTTCCAGTAAGTTCTGCGTGGATGGAGAAACGGGGAGATGTTGGATAACGGCGATGTGCACATGGGAGAATTTGTTTTGCCAAGGCATTTCTAATTCATTAGGAAAACCCGTCATTCCACAACTAATCATAAGCACAAGAATAGCATGACTGAAATCATCACCAAACAAAGCAACACCACTGCACAGCGAGTGGCCAGTTGGGGGAACATCCTCAAAAATCTATGGCTATTTGGAACCTTGCCATATTCCTAATGGATGCCATGTTTCAAAGAATTTCCAAGATCTTTGGATTCCAAGAGTATTTTTAAAAGGTTGGCTGGACTGTGTTCCCAGAATATTCATCCTTTTAATTGTTTAAAACAGCAGTAAGTGTGTTGTGAGAACGAGAGGGTTCAAAAGACAATGGGGTGGTCTTTCTCCTTTGATGCTAATTAGAGTAAAAACACTCAAAACCTCATGGATCTGGTTAACATCAGGGAGCAGATTCAAGAAAAACACATTGTAGCCCTGAATACACCTCTGGTGGAGGTAATGGGAATGGGGGGTGTGGCTCTCAGTTGGTTGCTGCTGCCGGGGGTTTTGGAGGAGTTGCTTTCTGGGAAAGACGTGGACCAGACGACCCTACAGGGAAACACAATTTATTTAAAAAGGTTCTGACACGTGTGTGAGAATGGAAGTGTGGGAGAAGAAAATTTCATAACTCTGACTAAGAATGTACTTTTTCCACTTGAGACCGGGGCTCCCTTGATTCCACTCGGATATTGTTCCCTCTGTTCTCCATTAATTTCCAAACTGAAACTCTGCTCCCAGGAACCCAAACACACTCTGTACTTTGAGGTCCTTCAGCATCTTTGGCATCTTTTGGACTTATGTTGAGCAAAAGCCTCAGCCACAAATGCTGAACCGCTAAAGTTTTTACCCGTCGGCCATCATCACGTTGGATGCTGCTAAGTTGTCTATTTCTGTTTTCACTTACCTTGTTATCAAGGGAGAAGTGCAATGTAAGTAGTTATTTATAGTTTTTTTTTTAAAGTGATATATATCTGGAGAATTGCATTCAAATGTCTTTGTGCAACGTTTCATTGTTGCGCAATAACAATAAATATTCTATTCTAATTTGGCTCTACCTCCATCTGACAAGGGAAAGTGTACGGCACAACTGCTAACCTACCAAGAAATGGACGTCCGTGTGAGCTAACAGATGTAGCAATAAAGGAGATTAATCAGGGAAACAGACACAACTCGGGTAAATCTAAAATAAATCTACATTTTCCTTGTCAAAGCAAGGAACCCTGCTCTCACTTCCAAATGAATGAACGCAGTCACTGAACATTGCTTTCTCAAATCGAACACTGATTAAATGAAACAACTGAACACAGAGCCAGAGAGTCCAGTTTCAACATAAGTTGGGAGAACTATAGTTTTGATTGATAAGTGCAATCAGAAATTACTTAGCCAGGGAGTTTATGCATTTACACAATGCCAAAACGACATTTGCAGTCATTCAAAGACTGCATGTTTCACAAACCAAAGTGTTCATGATGTACAATCAAATTTGGATGTCCTACCAGTGGGTGATTTCCTAAACTCCCAAGTGGGAGTTTGAACTCATGTGGTACGAATTTTTTCCACTGTTCTTTGTTATACTAACGAGACAAAAAAAGCAACAGGTTCTCCCCTCGGAAAGGAACAAAGGCTGGCAGCAGCTCCTGCATGATGAGTTGGTTCCTTCCAGTCGACTCCATGTGCTGCGTTTGTAAAGAGGCTGGCATGTCCAGTGGAATGATTTTGCCACACATCCAGCGATTCAAGTGTAATGGCAAAACAGAACAAGAGGCACTGTACAGCAATTAATAAAAACCGGGTGGGGTCACGCTCCCATGAACTGAACAATGAGATAAAATAACAACACATTCTTTCTTTTGAGATCAAGGCATGCTTCTGACGCTACCAGGTTTACGCCACAAACCAAAGGGAGGTAAATACACTGGACTAAAAATTAAATATCACAACAGGAAAGAGACACAACTCCAATAACAATGAAGATTTGACAGCAAATGTCTACAAAACATGAAAATGTGGGAGGTGTTTAAGAAAGGTTGATGAAAATGACCAAACAGCAAAGCGATTACCAGTAATGTGATCTACCTTGGTCTTCTAAAGATGAGGCCGTACTGCTGGCAGGCCAGGCCCACAGTGGGAGTGTAAAGAATGGGCATGAACCTCTCCACATCCGATGTTATGAGTCGGTAGAAGAGCTTCTCGTTCCGGTCCATGAGCGCCATCAGGAACACATACCTGCAAGAGTCAGAGAACAAAGAGAAGCTGTCAAACCTTAACGCTCTCCGCATCTCAGTGATGACGTTTGCTAAACCGAATTCTTAAACTCAGACATCTGTATGGGTGCAATCACTGTACCGTACAGCAAAAACGCTGCGTGAGCAAACTGCACTCAGTTCCGATTTCTGCAGAACAATTATTTTTAAAGCCGTTTTTGTTTTACTTCCAAATGACTGAAAAAACACACAAGATGAAAGTGAACCTGCAGACATGTGACACAAGCTCTTTGTTCCATAGGCCGAACGGGAAATGAAGGCATGTGTGTGACCTAAATTAAGCGCTGTTTGCCAGAAAGGACTCAGTTCCTAATCAGGGAAGTTTCCATAAAGCCATGAACACAAGGTGACTGTTGTTGAGAGGAAGAGCAGCATGCAGGCTTTGTCTGTTTTAGGTTAGGCTCCACCAGCTGCTGGACTGTGTTCCCAGAATATTCATCCTTTTAATTGTTTAAAACAGCAGTAAATATATGTTTAAAAAGGTGAATTAAAAATAAAATTAGCATTAGAAAACAAACAAACAAAAAAAATGTTCTTGCATCTTATTTCCTTACCATCTGCTTTATGTCTGTCCACTAAACAGCAAACTGATGAAAGATTTCTGTTATATGGAATAACAAGATCAAACTGCTGTTTGCAAAAACCCAAAGTCTGTCTGCTGAGGGAAACCAGAGGCTGTGATGGACGGACAACAGCCAACTGAGGTTTAAAGGGGTGACATTTTGCATTTTACAGCACAATTGAGTAACTATCTTACCTTCAGTCGTCATAAAAATGCTATGTATGTCCAATGTTACTTAAAGGAAATTTGATTTAGTAAATTAACACCATGAAACTGGGCCTTAGGCTCTTCAAAAGCTCCTGCTCTTTCTGAAACTCCACCTCCAGGAAATCATCACAGCATTGCTCCTCTATTAACTCTTCAACACCTATTAGCAATGTTGCATTGAGACCTAGCTGGTATAATGAGCTCAGTAGATGCGCAGATCTACCAGATGTTTGCCAATTGTTGCTGGCTAGTCTGAAGGTGAAACTGCATATCCAAGGTTTAGCTAGGTCAGCCCAAGTGTTTTGCACAGCTGAATGGTTGCCACGAGAGATTAAAGGATTTCTCAAACATGCATGAAAGAATCTCGGCAACACTCCAGGCTTGTTTCTGATGAGGGAATAAAATTAAACCTTAGGAGTTCATCTCGGTCATGGGCTCAATCCGACAAGCACTGAGAATCAGTTTCCAACACCAACCGATCTAGATTTATACCAAACAAAGAGACCAAGCGAGCTAATTATTTTATGTTTCCAGTAGGACTTCACTTCAAAAACCAATCTGAACTTTCCCTGTAAACCAGTCACCCATCATAGCACCATACGTCTCGCAAATGTAGTTTAATGCATTAAATGCAGAGACATATAGCATTGTTTTACAAGCAGTGCTAATTTTTCTTGAACTCAGAGCAATAATGAACAAATCCCAGATGCTTTTTAAACTTGTAACTGATAGAGGGTTAAGTTGCGAGGGAGTGATGTTATTCCTACATGAGCGTTATAACTTTTACAACTTTTTCGGTAAATGGAACACAGCCTGAATCACCACATCAAGTTTCAACACATCACTGCAGATTGCTACTGCTAAATTGTGTGCTGGGCCCTGCTAAAAAAGCAGTGAGGAATTATAAATCATGGTGGGTACTAGTCCTGCCTCGGAAAGAGCAAGAAAAACACACCACTGCATCATAAAACAGTACAATAAATGCTGATGAATTTTGGCTTCTGAACATCAGCTGCTTCATTTTAGAGCTGCTGTGGAATATCTTCCCTTTTTTTTTTTTTCTTTTGCACTAATTACATGCATATGTCTTCATTACAGTTGGGAATCCACCTCTCCTGATAGAGTGGTCACGCCATCAATCAAAATCATAACCATGTTCTTGCTGTGCGGATCTCCTAAAATATACAGCAAAAATGTCAGACGACTGATGAAAATGGAACTGAAAGCTCATATTTTAAAAAGTCATCTAAATAAACGATGACATCCAGCAATCAGTACCAAAGCAGAGCTACTTTGAAAACAGACAGGAGCTTAGTTTCCATTGTCCATACAGCTGCACAAAAAGAACTTCACTTAATGGAAATGCGCTGATTTATATTAAAAAAAACAACAACTACGCGCTAGGACGAGGTTTTCTCTGGCTGTGTCGAACAGGCCTGTCGATCTCCCGCTCCCTTCTTCCCTCATTCGTGAACAAGATCCCGAGGCACTTGAACTCCTCCACTTGGGGCAGGAGACCCCTGCCCCGACCCGGAGAAGCCACTCTACCCTCTTCCGGCTCAAGACCATGGCCTCGGATTTGTCACTTTTTCTCTCTGAGAAAATGTAGAATAGTGCAGTTTTGGATGAGCACCTGATGATTGAGGGTTGGGTTATGGAAACCCACATTTGTTGATGATTTCAGCTGCTTAAAACACAGATGTTAACTCTAGTCCTGGTGGGCCACTTCCCTGCAACTTTTAGATGTGCCTCTGCTGCACCACACCTGAATAGAATAATTAGATCATTAGCTCTGGAGAACTGATCTACACAAAGAGGAGGTAATTAAGCCATTTCATTCCAGTGTTTTGTACCAGTGGCACATCTAAAAACTGCAGGATAGTGGCCCTTGAGGACTGGAGTTTGACAGCCCTGGCTTTAAAGAACCCAAAATGAAAGGTTAGCACATTGGTTGTGTAATGCTCGCAGCCAGTGGGTTGAAACGTGCAAGTTAGCGTGCAAGAAGCTTTTATTTCATCACAAAGGACTTTGTAAAAACAGAGAAGAAGGACTAAATGGAGGAAGAGTGGAAAAGGAGGTCAGGGAGCATGAAGTAAAATTAATGGTATGAGAAGACAGATGATCTCAGAGGACTGATAGCTAATCTGCCTTCTGTGTTTTGAAAGGCTCTGCTCAAAGGATCTGGTTGCACAAACAGAGGATCAGATGAGATTTAACTCATGCACAGGATAACATACGAAGTCTGTTGGAATGCACCGCGACATCCTGGCTGGTTTCCTGCGGAAGCGTCTCACCTGTCCAGGTCGTCCCTTTTCATGTCGTAGTTTTTGAGGACTCTGAGCATCTGGACGTCCTGGCTGACGAAGCAGGGCGGCACCAGGCCGTGGATCCCCAGGTGGAGACGCTCCTCCAGGGAGAAAGCCATTTCCTGTAAGGACAAAGATTTTGACAGTGTGCGGAGGACGTGTGACGATCACCCACACACAGCGGCTGAAACCAAACACGGCCAGCGAGTAACTAAATTACTTATCTGATCCAGTGGTGATATAAAAGTGTTTATACCTCTTTGGAGTTTCTCAATATTTTGTCATGGCAAAAAGTCTAGGCCAGATTTACCAAGGGGGCCAGGGAGGGTTCAGTGATTTTCATGGAAGCACAGAAAAAAAGATCAGGAAAAAAACAAAAACAACAGCCAATATTTCATTATTTAATATATTAATGGTTAAACAAATATTTTGCATATTTGTTGAAGCTATCACTGTTGTTAATCGTTAATTTAAAAAAAAAAAGAAAAAAAATTGAGCTCCTTTGATTTTTCCCAGTGCGTAATACAAACAACCAATCAGAGCCAGGAGGCGGGTCTTATCTTTGAACGCTAAGGCTACTTAGCATAGCCACCTAAGATAGCATTTGAACTGTTTTGCTAGAAAGGTAAACAGCCATCAGGGTACAGGAGGATGATTGACAGCTGTAAGGCCCTCCCCCTGGCTCTGATTGGTTGTTTTGTTGGTGCATTTCTTCGGAGGGCAGCTCAGGGAGGATGTGGAGGAGATGGATCTTTTCACAAATCGTCTGTCTCATATTGTACTATGGCAACATGGTGACAATTTGAAAAAATATGTAAAAAATTTTTTTAAATAAAAGTTCCATACTCCTCTTTCCATGTCTAGAATCGTCCATGGATTTGTGGATTGTGGATTTTCATGAGAAATAATCCTGTCAATAAAAATTTTCCCTACCACTATGGATCTCTGCTACTTTTCCAGAGTTAGTTCCACATGTTTATAGGTTTGAAGTTACGCCATGCTGAATGAATATCATCACCTTCCTATAATAATGGCCCAAGTCATTTTATTATTTTTCCACAAAAAGTCATCAACTCTGTGATTTATGCAGACAAAAAAAAGAAAAAAAAATCACTATTGGCAAAAAAAAAGAAGACATTTTTAAGAAGGGAACGATATGATACGACACTAAATTCTAAAAGTGGCTGGAAACATGCTGCACAGATTATTTTTTAATGGAAGAAACATAGAACCACAAATATTTCCTTCAGTTCCAAAATTGATTCTGGACATGCTTTTTCAAAAATTATTGTCATTTTAATTTTTATTTAAAGTTTGAAAACGCGTATGCACACCAATTCAAAAGCAGATGGCAAAATCCCCGTCAAAGCGAGGAACAAAAAGAATGTTCCTCGCTTTGCCAAAGCAAGAGTTAAACTTACTTTGCAGGGAGGGAGAGAAATCGCTGGCCAAACAGTCTTACAGGACAGGATGTTTATTCTCTGGCATATACTTCAGGGCAAGTAAGACGAACAGCGGGTCAGATGAACTCAACAAGTTACAGGAATGTAGGTGTAATAGTGGTTCGGCACATGTATTGTGTTCCATCAAAATTAAGTGTTGCTTCAATGTTTGACGTGTAGTGCAGGCAGTTTTCTACACTTTGGCACGCTTCTGATTATCCATGAGAGATTTAGTTCCCCTATGTTCTCAATTTATAAAAATCTGTCCCACAGTGACATAAAATTACTAAGGTTTTGTTTTTGTTTTTTTTACTCTGCAAAGAATCAAAACGTGATTCATCTTCAAGTTTGAATGTTCCTCCCAATAATTGTTCGATACTAAATGACTGAAAAGCTGGAGTTGGAAACTCCCTCATTAACCTTTTTTGTTTTTCTTAAAAAAAAAAAAAGAAAAAAAAGCAGAGTTCAGTTTCATTTAACCACAACAAGGTCTGAATACAGCCTGTAGAATCAAGAGGTTTCTTAAGTAGAACCTGTTGGACAACATGAAGTAGACCATGAAGGCATCACAGAAATGCACTAACTCAGGAACAATGTGGAAAAGGTTAAAAAGGCATTTCTAAGTTTTTAGGACTCAAGCGAAATACAGTGAGAACTATTATTCACAGGCTGAGAGAACAATTAATGGATCGACAATAAATAAATAAACAGACTGGGGAAAAACAATGGGATTAACCGGAAAGTTTCAAGGCCAAAACCACCTGTGCCACAGCTGGATTAAAAGAGCACAAATTTTGATTAACCTCAAGACTTTTTGAAAAATATCCTGTTACATTAACAATCTCTGTCTGTCTGATTTTACAATGTGCTAAATGATTTGAGACACTTTTGTGCAACAAAAAAGCAAAAACAGTAGAAGTTTGTGGGAAAGCCAAAACCTTTCTCAGAACAAAACAATTTTGTAGGAGACATACAGCTTAGCTTTGATATGTAAAACACATGGAACATAAAAAGTGGCATGTCAAGCCGTGGTATGCGGTGTTTGATTACCGCCACGATAAGGAATTCTGATACATAAACACAATCAGCGGCGGCATGCATTTGTCTGTTTTACTGGACTCCTGATAATCCTAACAGGTTGACATGACACATATTGTTAACATTTCTCCAGCTTGTAACAGAGCAATACAGATTGATTGGACGCCATTTCTTTCTTTAAAGTGAAAAATCTCATTCTGATCCATTCTTTGTCGGGACACAAGGGTTGGTATCTCAGGTTATGTCGTTTCTAAATGTGTGAAGGAGAAATGTTTATTTTCTTACACACAAAGCAATCACTTATGTCGCTCTACAGTTCACACCAAGGAATGCTCAGAGAAAAGATTTCTAGTCGCCTCGTAAATCTTCTGACCCGCCAGGTTGTTTTTCCCTGAAGGAGCTTTGTTCCAGCCTGGTGTTGAAGGGACCGTTGTTTGCTGACAGTCTGGTGTGACCTCCACTCTCAGAGTCACTGACTCTTGAACAAACTGCATACAGAAAACGGACACTAACGCCCTCTGAACTTTTACGGCTTCCTGTCTTGCTCACCGTTGACAACCAGCTGCAAATCATAAAGGAATCCCGCACCTGCTGCATTGCAATTTGTAACTTTCGGGGCCGCCTCACCTTTGACCTTTTGCGGTTGTTTCAAAGAGAGGACGCTGATCTTCCTGCGGACACAAAGCCCACCTGTGCCATCGTTTATTAATCAACTCATGTGAGGGGGAAAAGGTTTATATTTACTGACTGATCGCTCAAGAAGAAAGTAGAGGACAGTAGACAACCCAAAAATTGTACAACTAAGAGTAGCACTAATTCAAGTCATGCAAAAGTAAAAAATAGCTGTCCAAGAAATTCCTCAAGGGCAAATAAGTATTTTATAAACAAGTGTCTCGAGTACCGAATCATCAATCATTTCATATTTAAAAATGACATCATCAGCCAGGCCAAAATATGAAGTTCTGTGGAAATTTTCATGTTTTAAGCATCAAAATAAATGATTTTTCTTTTCTCAAACCAGTTTCTTTCAAAATAAAATGTATGAAGCTTTAACAAAAACTACAGGTGTGTGCGCGCATGTGTGTGTCTGGCGCATTGTTGGTTAGAACTAGCTTGTTCTTCATTCAGCAGATTACCAGCAGCAGGACGAGCAGGACAGAAGTTTTACTAAAGTAAGAGTCGCCATACTTCAAAATAAAATGACTCATGTAAAAGGAAAAAGTTCAGTGAAGCAAAAAACACGCCAAGATACTTTTTTTCTTCCCCAAAATACAAATGTAATTAAGTAAATGTAACCAGTTGCTACCCAACGCTACAAATGCATTGTAACGTTGGATGCAGAGTGGCATCCGAGTTGAACCCGGGACAGCAAGACGGACAGCAACTCCCTTTTAGCAAGAACAGTTCGCGGTTATAATGTAGTAAAATGGGAAGAGATTTATTGGCAATGAATGCTGCGTCGAGGAACACTACCTACCAGATGCTGACTGCCACGAAAAGAATGAAGCCAGGCACTTATAAACTGCAATGTTTACAGTTTTTCAAAGCCCCTGGCACTTTAAGCATGTCTGGTTGTGCTAAAACATTTCTGAGGTATTACAAAAAAAATTGAGATCAAATGCAACACCTGAGAGAAGTAGAGAGGCATTTATCACCTAACACTAAGTTTGATTGCAGACTGTAAATATTGTATTATTCTTCTGAAAAAAAAACAAAAAAAATCCAGAAAGCTTCAAAGTTGTAGACGGAAGATTTTATCAAAATGACTCAGAGGAAAAAGCAAACACAAACACACAATGGAAACCAATTTCCATTTGGCAGCACATCTGAAATAATTGGATTATGTGCTTTTTTGACTGTCTGCAGGACACTCTAACCCGAATGATTGTATGTAATTACAAAAACCAACACCGTGTAAATGTCAGTTCACATAAGCAGTCTTAGTAATTTAGCCTACAGGACTAGATCTACAGCTGACTTAAAAAAAGAGATGAGGAGGAAGAAGAAGAAGAGGAAGAAGGAGGAAAACACACACACCAGTTGTTTGAGAAAATGAAACACACGTCAAGAACTATGTGTTACATGAGGCGGGGAGAAGCCTGTACTTAAGGGACCTCAAATAGACAGACTCAGCTCAGAATTACAACCTTCTTCCATTATCAAAAAACATTTCCTATTTTCCAGAGAGCCATGTGTTCACATCAGAGCCGGAGCATGTGGAACAGCAGCTGGTTCGCCGGCACTCCTGCTCTCTGCAGCAGCTGACCGTGAGCAGAGAGAGAGAGGGGAGAAAAAATAGAAAAGAAGTGGGGGCTCTTAAAATACAACACATGAGTTTAGCATGGACATTTAAAAGGAGAGCCTCTCGTTGGCTTTCTGTGGTCTTTCATTAGTTGGGATATATTCAAATCCAGCCCTAAAGTCGAGTTTGTAGGTTTATGACACAAAGTACAGCTGCTCATATGCACGAGAGTTTAAAAAAAGAAAAAAAAAAGGCAAAAGAAAAAAAAAAGAAGAGAAATCTGGACTTTTTCAGTGAGAAAAAAATACATTTTATTCATGCTTCCTTGGCGAATATCTCACTGGGCGTTAGAGATTTGCGCACAATTCTATGTTTACATTTCATTCCTCCCCCCAAATAC